TTCCTGCAGGATTCATGTGTTTAAGAGGCGGAAATTCCACAGTGTCCTGCTGTTGTGTGTCCTCAAGTTGCAGTAGGCCCTTGGTATCTGCCAGGGTTTGATTCCAGGACCCCATGTGGATACCAAAATCCATGGATGTTCAAGTTCCATTAAATACAATGGCGTAGTAAAATGGTGTCCCTTGTATAAAATGGCAAAATCAGGGTTTGCTTTTTGGAATTTATGTATGTTAAAAATATTTTCAAGCCACAGATGCTTGAATCCATGGATAAAATAATCCATGGGTATGGAGAGCTGACTATTTCTGATTAATGATGACCCTAAGGTGAATCTATTATGGTTTGTGGTTTTTTTTTTGGCAAGATGATTCAGAAGGGGTTTGGCTTTTGCCTTCCTCTGAGGCTGAAAGAGTGTGACTCGCTCAAGATCACCAGTGGGTTGTCATGGCCAAGTAGGATTTGAACCCTGGTTTCCAAAGTCCTAGTCCAACCCTCAAACCACTACACCATGTTGGCTTATGTTAAAAATGTACTCTTATCTGAAACTCTGAAAAGCCTGTTAAATGTTTGCAGCTTTTGAAAACATACAGTCTTTGGAAAACAACAAAGACTTTACTAATAACAGTGAACCAATTTGCCATTTTTCTTAATAAGCCCTGTTCCTCATATCTTGGAAGGGAAGACCCACATAAATTACACTTCACGTGCTGTGTGTAAAGTTGCGTTTACTAGATCAAGGGTAGTGTTAGTCTATAAAATCAGTATGTAAGGGGATCTTGTAGCACTTTCGAGACTAACTGAAAGGAAGAAGTTGATAGCATAAGCTTTCGTAGACTTAAAGTCTCCTTCCTCAGATGCATCTGAGGTATCTACTGGGGTTTGGTTCCAGGATTACTTGTGAATACCAAAATCTGAGGAAGCAGACTTAAGTTTATGGAAGCTCATGCTGCCAACTTCTTGCTTTGTCAAAGGTGGGCACTTTATAGGTCTCCAGATGTTGAGCTACAGCTCCCATCACCCCTCGCTGTAGGTTATGCTAGCAAGAGTTGGTGGCAGTTTAACAAATCTGGAAGGCCACAAGTGGTCAACCCCTGACTTAAAGTGATATGATAAATTCCTTAGATAATGGGCAGCGTAGGCACTGTTTAATCTTGCTAAGAAGCCTAGAAAGATCTGGTAACTTGGGTGAGATGGTTGGTAAACCAGAACAGGAGACAGCACTGCTGGTTGCCATTGATGGGGATGAGGGTAGAGAGAGATGAATGGGTCAGTCACCCCTTTCCCTGCTAAACAGCTATGGGGCAGGGTGACCAAGTGTCCGAGCCACAAAGGAGGACAAGGCATCACAAAATGTAGGACAGGGGTAGGCAACCTTTCCCCTTTAAGGGCTGAGGGACTTCAGCTCCCAGAATCCCAGGAGCAATTGGCCAACATGGGACTATTGGCCAACATGGCTGAGGCTTCTGGGAGCTGAAGTCCCTCGGCTCTTAAAGGGGAAAGGTTGCCTACTCCTGATGTAGGATGTTCAAGGGAAATGGAGGACATGACCAAATAAAAGCTCCAAACATTTCATAGAAATATAAATTCATGCTTCTTAGTCATGCTCAAAATAGAGGACAGTTTGGGATTCCTCCTGGACAGAAGGTGGAAATCGCCTGGAAAAGGAGGACCTCTGACCACCCTGGCTATGCGGTGGAGCTTAGGGGTAGGCAATCTTTCCCCTTTAAGGGCCGAGGGACTTCAGCTCCCAGAAGCCTCAGCCATGTTGGCCAATAGTCCCATGTTGGCCAATAGCTCCTGGGATTCTGGGAGCTGAAGTCCCTCGGCCCTTAAAGGGGAAAGGTTGCCTACAGACTTACTTGGCCTTCAGTGAGGATACAGGGACCCTTCCACAGCCAAATATTACCTCATCTCATTGGCCGAGTATTACCTTAATCTGATCTAGAGACTAGTTCCATAGCCAAGTATTACCTCATCTGATCTTGAGGCCAAACCTTTTAAAGATGCTTTTATGCTATTTGAAAGCCAGGAGTCTTAAGAAAGAGGAAGCATGTATGTTCCAGACTTAAAGATGTTTCTGGAGTTTGGAAATATTATTGGTTTTGGATTACAACTCCCAGAAGGCTGGGGAATTCTTTGAGTTGTAGTCCAAAATGTGAAATTTTCTGAGCTCTGGTACAACTGCAAGCATATCTAATTGTGGGTCATGGCATGGCTTGTACTACAACAGAGCAAACCCAATTCCATTCCCAATGTAGTCAACAGACATGTGTGCCTCTTTCTTTATTTGGTTTGCAACAGATCTTTTGGGTTTGAGAAGAAACAGCTTCAAATACTGTATATATGTTCATAGACAGCCAATGTAGTGTAAGGCTTTTAGTGATGGACTAGGATTCCTGGGGGCCAGGGTTTGAATCGTCACTTGGTCATGGAAACCTACTAAGTGACCTTGGGCAAGTCACATTCTCTCAGCTTAGAGGAAGGCAATAGTAACCCCCTTTGGAACAAATCTTGCCAAGAAAGCCTTGCGATAGCGTTGCTTTTGGATTGCTATAAGCTGGAAATGACATGATGGCACACACATATGTATGTACGATTCAATGCTCCTCCAGTGATATTTTAAAAGTGCAATTTTCTTAAAGCTGAAAAACAGTTCCTGGGGGAAAGGTAATAGGTAGGAAGGATTGTGTCAGCTGCCAGCTAATCTGTCCAGGTTTTGCCATTACTGCATCTCCCCGGCAGGAAAGGCTGCACCTACCGAATATCTGCCTGTCATCCAGTTATTAAAACCTAGAGCGGATTTGAGCTAAGGATGAGTGGGGAGGCTGGCAAGAAAAACAGTGCCTGAGAGCTGT